GTGAGGATGCAGTGATGCTTGTACAAGCCAAGGAAGGTTGCAGATGGCTAAGAGATGCCCCAGAAGCTGGGAGAGCTCAGAGAGCATGGACCAGACTCACAGCCTCAGAAGGAACCAGTCCTAACAAAGCCCTTGGTCTTGAACTTCTGGTCCCCATAACTGTTTTTTTTTTCCCCCCACACTACAGGGCAGGCAGAGCTTCCCTAACCAGGGATCGAACCCATGCCTCCTGCAGTGGAAGCCCAGAGTCTTAACCACTGGACTGCCAGGGAAGTCCTTTTTACTTATTAATATTTTAACCATTCACTAGCCCAGGTTGGATATATGAGACAAGTGCTCAGGGCTGGTGCACTGGGAAGACCCAGAGGGATGGGATGGAGGGGGAGGAGGGAGGGGGGTTCAGGATGGGGAACACATGTAAATCCATGTCTGATTCATGTCAATGTATGGCAAAAACCACTACAATATTGTAAAGTAATTAGCCTCCAACTAATAAAAATAAATGGAAAAAAGAAACCATTTAAAAATTATTTATTTCTGGCCGAGCTAGGTTTCCATTGCTGTGTGGGCTTTCCTCCAGTTTCCTCGAGTGGAGGCTGCCCTTTGTTGTTGTGCATGCGCTTCTCATTGCAGTGGCCTCTCCTGGGCATTAGGACATTCGGGCTTCAGCAGTCGTGGCTTCCAGGCTCTAGAGCACAGGCTCAGTAGTTGTGTTGCACCAGCTTAGTTGTTCTGAGGCATGTGGGATCTTCCTGGACCAGGAATGAGACCTGTGTCTCCTGCATTGGTTATGGATTCTTTACCACTAAGCCACTGGGGAAGGCCCTATTATTTTTTTTTTTAAATAAATTTCAGTTTTCCAAGTCACCCAGTTTGTGGTGCCTTATTCCTATAGCCCTAGGAGACTTACAGAATATGTGTGTGTATATGTTAGGTCCATGAATCAAGGCAAATTGGAAGTGGTCAAACAGGAGATGACAAGAGTGAACATTGACATTCTAGGAATTAGTGAACTAAGATGGACTGGGATGGGTGAATTTAACTCAGATGTCCATTATATCTACTACTGTGGGCAGGAATCCCTTAGAAGAAATGGAGTAGCCATCATAGTCAACAAGAGAGTCCAAAATGCAGTACTTGGATGCAGTTTCTAAAACGACAGAATGATCTCTGTTCGTTTCCAAGGCAAACCATTAAATATCACAGTAATCCAAGTCTATGCCTCGACCAGTAATGCCAAAGAAGCTGAAGTTGAGCAGTTCTATGAAGACCTACAAGACCTTCTAGAACTAACACCCCCAAAAGATGTCATTTTCATTATAGGGAACTGGAATGCAAAAGTAGGAAGTCAAGAAACACCTGGAGTAACAGGCAAACTTGGCCTTGGAGTACGGAATGAAGCAGGGCAAAGGCTAATAGAGTTTTGCCAAGAGAACACACTGGTCATAGCAAACACCCTCTTCCAACAACACAAGAGAAGACTCTACACATGGACATCACCAGAT